AGGCATAGGAAGATAGAGAGATAGAAAGAAAAGAGAGAGGTAGAGAGAGAGGTAGAGAGAGAGGTAGAGAGAGAAGTAGAGAGAGAGAGAGAGATAGAGAGATAGATAGATAGATAGATAGATAGATAGATAGATAGATAGATAGAAAGACAGGAAGGGGAGGCATAGAGAGAGAGAGAGAGAGAGAGAGAGGAGTGGGGGTTGAAAGGGGCGAGCCGAGATAATAAATGAGAAAATGAGGCCGGGGGGTGGGGGTGGAAAGAGATGGAGAGAGTATGAAAGACAGAAGGGTTGTGATATAAAATTAAAATAAGTTATAATAATATAGATAGAGAGAGAGAGTTAAAGAGGGAGAGAGAGATAGAGGGAGAAACAGAGAGAGCCAGAGAGAGCCAGAGAGAGAAAAAAGAGGCGAAGAGAGAGGCTCCAAAGTAGTTTCCCGGAAAGAATATTAACCGTAGGGAACTACCAAAGGTATTTTTCTTTATGGGTAATCTAGACAAGGGCAGACATTGGCATGATGATGGTACGCTGATGAATCACGTATGTTTTCACGGAATGGTTTCCCAGTGACGAAGCATTCTGGGATGACAGACAAGAGCAAGAACACCCAGGAATAGGGTTGTGCTTTAAGACAATAAACTCTTTATACGCTTTCTCACCAGCTTATTTTCTCTATTTAAAAAAAATACTTTGGTAGCAACATTTCCTTCGTTTTGTATCTTTTCCCCCGGGTTCTTCTATACACCCCTCCCGTATCGAATGCTCGTCCATTTCATCCTTTCACTCTCCCATTAACCTGCATCCATCTTTTGCAGAAAGAATCTTTTTACCCCCAGGTATCTAAAGATATTCTGGCATGGTGCACACTTGGAAAGGTTATCACATCTGATATAAAAAAAAAGAAAAAGAAAACCTGCAAAAGCTTTAAAAAAAAGGAACAAGAATAAAACAAAACCTACTCATCGTCACACATCTTCCAAGAATAAAACAAAACGATTTTTGTTTCCCTGCCTTAGATAGCATCAGTCAATAGAAAAACTAGGAAAAAGAAAAAAAAACCCCCAGCAAATGTCTGTTAAAACTATGAGTAAGGTATGACAAATTGATGACGAGTCTGCGCGTTGAGCAAACTATTTTTAAACGTCAATTCTATTAATAGAATTTATTCGGGGAAAGGAAAAAGCAACCCAACTAAAATGAGATCCAGACAGAATTATTTGTAAAATAAGAAGTGGTGTTATGTCTGTGTTTTTTTTCCTAGACGCGTAATGTGGGGTGGATGATTTATTCTTCAAGTGTGACGTTTCTCACTGTTACAGAGGAGGAGGAGGACGAGGAGGACGAGGAGGAGGAGGAGGAGGAAAAGTTACATTGGAGAAGGAGGAGTAGGAGGACGACTAAGAGGAGGAAATGGGGGAGGAGGAAATGAGAGAAGGAGGACGAGGTGGGGGTTATGGTGGGGGCGGAGGCAGGATGACGAGATAAAGGAGAGTGGGAGAAAAACAGGGAGGATGCTAAGATAAACAACTACTATGACCACGAAAACGTCCATATCAACGATAGAGAGAGAGAGAGAGAGAGAGAGAGAGAGAGAGAGAGAGAGAGCAGGGTGAGGAGGAAGAGGATGGGGGAGGGGGGTATAAGAGGAACAAAAAGGAGGAGGCAGTGGATGACAACAACAACGACGAGATCATGTCGATGACGACGTGTGCAGGAAAGTGAGAGGGGGTGGAGGGGGAGGGAAAAGAATAGGAAAAGTAGAAAATATTACTCAAGGTTATAGGACAAAAAACAGAGAGGAGTTTGAGTTCAAAATTAGAGTACAAAACAGAAACGGATATAACTGCAATGCATTTTAAAAGTTAGTAAATCAAACCACATGTATTCATTTTTAGCTTCAGTACGAGTTTTACGGTATTTGCAACATAGTAAGGTCATAAAGGTAACAAAGATTTGAGATGTTACAAGAAAGTAGCAAGCACAAAAGAGAAGGAGGAGCAAACCTTACCAGAGCACCCTTCAACCACCAACGCATCTTTACTCCCCAAACCTAATTTAGTGCAAAACTGATTAATATAAATAACCGAGGGAAAGGAAGAAATATGACCTTTCCAAACCAGCCTTTAACTACCCTCTCATTTTTGGGAGACCCAATAATATTTCCCCTAGTGAGGTTTTATCCTTTGTACATCTCTATAGGTGGAATTTTAACAAAATGGTTTGTTTTTTAAACTAGCTGAGATCAGCTTTAACAGTTGTACTTTTAGCAAAAACAAGAACCACCACCACCACCACCACAACAACAACAACAGCAAAGCAACAATGATAAATATAATAACAACAATAACTACGACAAAGCAACAAAATTAACAATATCCTCACTACCGTCGTCACCACCTCCACCACTACCACCACAACCACCACCATCATAATAACCACCTTTTATTGTTAGTAAGAGTTTTACAGCACTTGCAACAAAATAAGGCCATATAAGTGCAGAAGATTAGAGGTTTTACAAGAGAGTACCAAACGCAAAATAGAATGAGGGGAGATAAGGATGATAGATTTTTGATTGGAAAGAAGGAGCAAACCACACCAGAGCCCCCGCCAACCACCTACACCACCACCACCACCACCACCACCTCCAAGAACAACAGAAATAACAACACCACCAACAACAACATTAACAACAACAATAAGAACGAAAACATTACATACAACACCACCATCACCATAACTCGATATCATACTCACGAGTATTAGACTCTGCATAAGTTCCTTTGTATTCTGACGTCATAAATTGTCTTGTGAGCGCCGTTTTTCCTACACCCGGGGCACCCATCATCAGTACCCTGGAACACACAGAGCACAGTGGTTTATCCCTTTTAGTATCATGGAACTTACGAGAACAATATTATACCGATCTTCTGAGTACCTTGAAACATACGAGAACAATGTTCTAACCATTGAGTACCATGTCACATAATATGAACGCAGAGTTTTAAGTCGTGAGTACTTTTCAACACACAAAGCACACTAATTTAACCCTTTGATGCCTTAAAACATACAAGCACCATCTTTTAACCCTTTGAGTATTCTGAAGCATACGAGCACAATATTTAACACTTTGAGTATTGGTTAAGACCTAAAGCGGTCTGTTCTAACACTTTAAGTACCATGGAACATACAACCACACAGTTTAACTATTTAGGTACTTAGAACAGAAGAGCGCATCATGCTAAAAAAAAATTTTTGGAGGGGGGAGGGGCTCTCGTGACCTAGAGGTTAAGGTGTTGGCTTCTCATGCAAAGGTCCCGTGTTCGAATTCGGGGAGTTACCGAAACATTTTCTTCTCTAAAATTGTCTCCTTTCACCTCCGTTCCAGCTCTCTAGCAATGTTCTGTCGTCTGATTTCGTCTCCTCTTTCTGCCCCCAACCTAATCTCATTTGCCCCCTCCTCTGGGATTCGGACTCTTCCTGCAGCCTTTCTACTGCTACTCCTTGGATTCTTTTTACTGATGTCTTTCAGCCACACCCTTGATCTTCAGGTAGGAAAGATCTACACCTACCCTTCTCAGACAAGGCCGAAAAATCGCGGAGGGCCCGTGTGCAAGTTGCGCATGTTAAAGATCCCTTGATTGTGTACAATTGATAAGAGTAGGCTTCGACCGCCACCCGGCCAAAATTCATAATTTCCTACCAACTGAAAAAGTGCAATGTGTCTCGCGCGCTCATATGACTTTATGTCGTTGCAAGTGCCGTAAAACACTTCTTTAAAAAAAGCAAGAACAAAAAAACAAAACAAAAATTTGAGTACACAGGAATCCCTTCTTGGAAACAGAGCGCAAGTCGTTTGCCAAAAGCACAAATATAATGCAATAAACACCATAGTATTATGTGGTTAGACAGTAAGACAACTTAGAATTACTAAATTCTATCGGGCATTTTTGGCCGTTTTGAGTTACTAAGACCATGATGTCAGAAAACCAAATTTGCTATCTGCTCCATACTAATCGTTAGAGTCGTCGTTGAGCTATTTAAATAATTGCATTCGAAAAAGGTCGAGATGTTGTGAAACCCAAAATCTTTTTAACGTCATTTTTTTCAGAACTAGATCTAGCTACTGAGCATCTGATAGACCTTTGTCATTCTGCGGTAGTGAGTAGTTACCTATACATTGCAAAATCAACCACGTGGCAAGAAGAAAGTAGTTACTTGTAAAGTAAAGTAAAGTTGTTGCCGCATCCGATCCGGACATTGGGGATTGCCTTTGTTAGTGAGACAACTTCCTGGGCCTTCGGCATATTGTGGTAGGGTGGCCAGTTTCTTTCCACGACGCCTTTATTTCCCCAACTCGAAGTCAGGTGCCCATTACTGCTGGGAGGGCTGGAGGGGGCGAAGAAACCCGAGTCTGAACCGAGGCTCGAACCCGGACTTTACGCTTCAGAGACGAGCACACTAACCACTCCGCCACCACACCCTTGGTAGAGAGTAGTTACTTAATGTATTGCAATATTAACCAAGTGGCAAGAAAGTAGTTATTTGTGTATAATATATTATATTGCAAAACGAATAGCGTGGTAAGAAAATAGTAATTACCTGTAAACCTGTAGGTTGCTCTTGGAGTCATGACTGTCCGAGGCGCTGTCGTCCGACACGTAACTAGCTCTCCGGGGGGACATCTTGGCACCGTCAGGGATAGAGGTGGCGCTGCCAGCGGACATAAGGCTGTTGAAAACCAAGGGGTGAGGAGGAAGGGTGGACGTTAATAAGAAGGTGGGTAGTTTTCTCTTTTCATTTATGTCTGTATGTCTGTCTGTCTGTCTGTCTGTGTGTGTGTCTTTCTGTGGGTGCGTGTGTCTGTCTGTCTGTCTGTATATCTGTGTGTGTGTGTGTGTGTGGGGGGGTGTCTGTAGGTCTATTTTTCTGTAGGTCTGTCTGCCTTTTCTTTTAAAAAAAATTACTTTCTCTTCTTTTTTTCTTTCTTTCCTTCCTTATTTTTCTGTCTTTATGTCTTTATTTATTTCTTTTGAACGGCCTTTTTTGGGGGGTGGGGGGAGGAGGGGGGGCAGGGGCAGAAAGGGGATGCAGCAGCTTTTGCATACGAAAGGGAAAAGTAGGGGTGGGGGTTATAAACATGTATTTCACACCCCTATAGAATGACAATGTACAGTAGGGAAAAAATGAGCAAGTACATGCTTTGCCTGCTTACTATTGTTGTCAGTACAGTATTTTGAGCCTCCCATGTGGGTGGTTGGCGAGTGCTCTGGAGTGGTTTGCTTCTTCTTTCCTATGAAACATCTGTCGTCTTTATCTCCTTTTTCTTTTTTTATGTTTGTTACTCTCTTGTAACACCTCTAATCTTCTGGAGCTCATATTATGACCTTATGCAGTTGTGAGCGTCGAAAAACCTCTACTAAAACTTAAAAAATTTCCCATTGCTATAACATAACAGAACTTCCCAGCATGAGGATCGAACATACGTTAGGCTAAGTGTTTACAAATCACAGGGCAGTATAGGTGGAGATTAAGTGAATTAATGTCTAAGCAAAAAGTGGGGAGAGCGGGTGAGTGAGAGAAGAGAGTAGCGAATGGGTTGGATGAGGGGTGTTAAAGTGAACGGAGGACTGAGTGAAAGAAGAGGGAAATTAGTGAGAGAGAGAAAGACAGAGAGAGAGAGAGAGAGAGAGAGAGT